CTGCTCCAGGCCAATGGGAGCTGCTGGAAGTGGCCTGGAGCAGCGAACCGCAGCCAGTGCGAGCCGCGATCGGCTGAACCTGCGGACGCGGCAGGTACACAAACCGTCCCAGCCCGCCAGGGGCTTTCCCGGCGCAAGCGGCGGAACAAGTTTGGGAACCACTGAAGTAGACAGAGGTGAGACAACCCTAATGGTTAGAAATTGGTTTAACCCTGAAGCACAAGGGTTTATATCTCCTCTAAAAGTTTATCTACTATTAACTCTGGATATGGATATTTTTTACCCATATAAATAGCAATCCCTCTTTGAAGTGGGCCCCAACTGTACATGAAGTTTTACTCAGTAACAGAGCAGACATCAAGTGTAAGTGGTGGATTCTCTGTAACTTGGAAGTCTTTAAATCATGGATTTGAGGGCTTCAGTAACTCAGCCAGAGGTTAGAGATGTATTGCAGGACTGGTGGGTGAGGTTCTGTGGCCTGCCATGTGAAGAATGTTAGACTAGATGATCATGATGGTCCCTTCTGACCTTGAAGTCTATGGAATACATAGCAAACAGAAGTTTAATTACTAATAAATTCATTATAACATAATGTTCATATCTAGGATTCGAAAGATTTATCTTTTTTCTAGGTTATTGTTGGTTAGCATGGTAATTGACAGTCACTGAATAATGGTATAAAATGAAAGACATTCTTTAAATAATTTCCAGTAATCAACATAAAAACAAAATAAAATGCACTTCTACCTATTAAAAACAATAATTGTTGCCCATTCAAATTCCTGGAACTGAAATCCCACTGAAAACAAAAATAAGAGAGAGACAGAGAAAAGGAAGTTAATATACTACCTTACAAGTGCAGATAAATGAGATTCTGTAGCAAAAGCACTCTCTTGTGGAGCGTTAAAATTTCACTACAGTTCAGCTAGCCTCTGTTTTTTATACAGATGAGACATCTGGCTGCACAGTGCATAAGGAAATGTGAGCTTAGACTTTTCACTGTTGTTTCAGCAACATTCCTAAGTATTTTCTCTGCTCTTCGCAAATGGCCGGCTGCACTTCAGAAGCGTCAGTGGTGCGCACTTCATTGGAGCTGCAAGTGCAGCAAACCAGACAACTGTTTTACAGGACTCTTCAGACAGACAGGCAGCTTTCACCTCAGATCAATGAGGGTATTGATCCCAAATGTGATGTCTTCTTAGAAAAGAAATGGTCAGGGAGAAGAAAGGTGGGAGGGGGGGGAGAATGAAATCTTAGATTTCTAAGAGATACGGAGACCTTTGCTATGAACTTTTCCACATAGGGCAGGTTAGGGAGTGGAAATTGGTCTGCTGGACAGTGTTTGGGAACAGGCCTCTGCTTTTCTTTGATGCTTTACTTCATCCAGCGTGGGAACTTTAAGGAACATTTGGAGGAAGAGCCACAGGCTCCACTTAAGTAAGAGAATTGACCGATACACTTAGGGGTTTTAAGATTCAACATTAGCTGTTTTTAATGTGAATTTATATTTTGTTTAAATGAATGTCCATGTACTAATATTTATAGCTCAGTGTGATTTATTTCTAAAATACAAATAAAATTCTGGCAGCTTTTATATGGGATCTATAGGTCTGACCCTTTTATTCCAGTCTCTATGACAAGTGCACTGCCATCTGTGGCATTAATAGTAATACACTTTCTTCAAGTTCCAGTATCATTTATGATCCAGAAGCGTGTCATTTTTGCTCCATTACATAACAAATCTGATCCAGTAATACTGAATTTTCATCTAAAATTTTCCTAGTGGAGTAACATATTGCATCCTTAGATCATTAAATAAGAGTTACAGTCATTTCGATCTCGTTTGCATAGAAACACAGGGCCAGATTCCCAGGTGGCATAAATCATCATAGCTCCATTGATGCCAACGGCACGAACCCAATCTACACAGCTGAGGAGCTGGCCAACAGAATCGGGAAACGTTAAGTCCCATGCCTACAATTCGTTGAGTACAGACAGAACTGTGTACCTGCACAGAATCAATGGGCATGTCTACACTGCAGCTGGGAGTGCACTTCTTAGCTCAAGTAGACAAATATGCGCCACGTCTGCTCAAGCCAACATGCTACAAATGGTGCCACAGCCAGCGGCTCAGGCTAGCCACCAGGGGTCAGGACGGGTTTGTACTCAGGTGGCTAGCCCAACCCGCCACCTATGCTAACCTGGTTGCACTGCTATTTTAGCACACTAGATTGAACAGAGCTAGCACATCTGTCTACTTGAATTGGGAAGCACACTTCCACCTGCAGTGTGGACGTAATCCATTTGGGCTACCTATGCAGATTGCAGGATTTAGACCTAAAATATGTATTAGGTCTTCTAGTTCATCTCCACAATAATATAGGATTTCTCCCTACCATTTTGATCTGTAGTTTTCAGATGTTGTATTATATAGGAACTGAGGAGTATCCCTTTAAATTGCTTAGGAGCCTTCTAGTTGACCTCCCTGTCTTCTATGGCAGAAGCCATCAGAACCCTAAGACAGGAGCAATGTATATATGTAGCAAGACCCATCAGTTTGTACAGAAACAGGCTATGCAATCAAGTACACTTACTGAGGAACAGGAATCCTGCACGACATCTCCTATTCCTGGGAGCTTACGACTAGCCATGAAGTCCTTGTATGTAGCACCATGCATCTGTTTAGCTGTATAGCCAGTGTAGAGATCTCAATGCATTCATCATTAAATCATCCTTTTCTTGATATGCATTTGATAACCTCACCCCCTCCTTCCCCAACAAACCCAGAACATAGCCAGTGCCACGCCAAATAAATGTGCAGAACTTCATGAGATCTTACACAATAGTGTGTATTTAAAGAGGCATATGGTGCCATTTGTCTGGACATAGCTCCTACCGTTACATGGTACAGAAATTACTGGGCTTGAACCCCATCCCCAAATCAATATACATAACACTTCTATCCCCCTCCCCCCCTACCTCCATCCTTTACAATGGTCATGCTGATTTTGGGGGCGGGGGTGGGGAGGAAGTAATATTGGCCAAGACCACTTGTAATATATGTTGTGTATCAAGTTACAAAGCACAGCACTTTAAAAGCTGAATTAAAAAGATCAGAAAAGGCAATACCGATCCAGTCCCACCTTTAAGTCACTTCTACAACTTAACACTTTTCACAAGAATCCTGTAAAATTCTTGTATGATGACCATGGAGAAAGGAAGCTTTCCAATTCAAATAACTAAAAAAGACACAACTAGATAACATCTTTAGCTGTGTCAGGTGGAAAGCATACAGGCATGAAACACAGAGATGCATTTGAACACCAGACATATTAAGGGGAAATCTTTTTTTGGTCCAATGGAACCAATATGTTAACAGCTGGAATGAGAACTGGCAAACGTGAAACATAGAATCCTATTTTATTCTTGAGGAAGCAGAAGTTATTCTTCTGAGCTGGAAGAGTTTCTTTTCGGACTGATCACTATTCTTTTTATGGTTCGCTCACCCTCTTCAGAGGTGCAAGAGCAAGCTGGCAATTTCCACACAAAGCAAAAATTTTCAATTAATACATAAGATTGACTTATTCCAAGTGACTGACATGATCCTCCTAATAAAGTAAGGGAAACATGAAGTAACAAAATTCATAAATAGTCTTAAAAAGCTTCGCCTGAGAAAGCTGTGTTAAATGTTTATGTTCAAATTACCTTTATCAACTGCATCTATATCCTCAATTTTTTCTATGAACATTCACATTTTATATCCAAGACCATGAAATTTATCACAGAATTGCACAATGTATACATATGCCAAGAACTTTAGGACAAAGAGCCCTCAGTTTAACTAAGCCAAGTGATGTCAGACTTTTCATTAGCAATCAGTCAGTCTTACATAAAAAATAAAAATCTGGTCATTATCAGATATCTTTTGTCTACAGCCTTTAGATTTCCCAATGGCTTGATCCATTTAAAAAACTAGCAGTAAAGAAACTGTATTTTCCACAGCTTTAGGCTTATGATGGAATTCATGTTTCCTACAGGGGTTTAATTGCATTACATGCACACATAACTTCACTGATATTGAAGATGCTGGCTCGTTTCGAGATTTTGAATAAGTGTTGGTATGCGTATGTATTAGCAATACTGGCCTGTGTTTTCAATAGCAGTAGCTTGGTATGCTCTGACAGCATATGGTTATAGATTAAAATAATAAATAAAGAAAAAGATGGCCAATTAAATGTGCATATAACCTTTCCCCAGTGAGCTCTGTTGATATATTTTCCTCCCAATACTGGGGAATCTCCCTGCCCTGCCTTTAACTAACTAACCAATTCTGTTATTCAGCAAAGCTCCTGTATCATTTTTATCTCTTTTCAGCTGACCCACCCATTCCTTCTGAGAACACCTCTCACTATCTAAATGTGGCGTGTCAAGAGAGTTGTAGGTATTGTTTATACTATGTTATAATCCTTTGGTATCACTTAATTGGTTTAAATGGCTTTAAAATAAATCTGTCAACTCCCGACAGCTTTAACTGAATTTCTAGGCCTACTTAGAGACTTGTCTCCACATCCCTCTATGTAGTTCTTCTTTAAGATCCTGTTTTACACCTGTGCAAAGCAATGATTATTCCTTTATCACAGGACCTGTAGAATAATCACAAGAGAGGACCAATTGCCCTCCTTTAAAAGCTACCTAACAGCGAGAATGACTAACTATTGGACCAAGTTACCAAAGGAAGTGGCAAATTTGCCATCTCTTAACGTCTTCACAGGAAGACTGGATGCCTTTCAGGAAGAAATGCTTTAGTCAAACAAAAGTTCTTGAGCTCAATACAGGAGTAACTGGATAAAGTGTTATGGCCTGTGATATAATAGAGGTCAGACTAGATGAGCTAATGGTCCTTTATGGCCTTGAACTCTACCCAGTACAGATTGGGCCTTTTCGCCACCACCAGAAATATAAAGCATCTCACTGTAGAAGGGGAAGCTTTACGAAGTATTCTTCACAACATCTTTCTCCAGCATCCTCTATCACATTTCTAATAAATTGTTTACAGTTATCTCATCCTCACTCAGTTGCACCTGCAGAGTGGCTCTGATCCTGCAAGCTTCTCCATGCAGGCAGGCCCTTGTACCCATGCAGAGTCTCACGATCTTCTGCACAGAAGTCATCCCACACTAAGGAGGCTAAGGACACAGAAGATTGGGGCCTTAGACTATGATCTCTGAGGCATGGACTTTTTTACTGTCCATTTATGCTCGATTGGTACCTCCAGCAGTATAAATAATATAAAATATTATATTGCCCATTGACAATGTTGCTTCAGTGGATATTTAATCTCAATGGATTACCGCAGAAGACAATTTCTAAACACAGCAGGCATCAGTTAGGTGTGGGCAGGTGTCACAGTTGGGCATTGCTCTTTCGTTCTTTAGGAAAAGCAAATAAGTGAGCTGAGATCAATTTTCTATTGATCTAATCCTCAGGGAAGAGACTTTAAGAGAGCAAATCACAGTGTCACAGCTGTAAACCTGAATCTTTAGCAACTTCCAGTAACACACAGAATTCAAGGAGATTAATCCAGTTTTTACAAAATCAAAATCAAACCAAAGTTTGTTCATACCCTGTAATTTTCAGCCTTAATCTTTTCAACCATTTATTACAACTGCCACTTGGCTCTCAAGTTCTCCCTCTCTGACAAAGTTGTAGTCAGCCTATTTTTGTTGTTGTTTTAACAGCTTCAATAACAATGATGACTAAGGTCTTGATAGGCTAGCAGATGTTTTCTAAAAGGAAAATAATAGCATCTGAAAACAGATCCTCATGTTTCCTGCGCAAAAACTATCCTGGTAGCACAGCACATTTATCCATGGCAATTGTAATCAGTTAAAATCATAAGCTAGTTCTGGTTTAAAACAGTTCACAAAGATCTTTAGGCTTAAGGTTAATCACTTGCAAATATACACTCTGAAATAACAGCCACCTTGATAATCCCATGCTTCTGTAACTATTTGTCTATTGTTACTTGATCATTTTCCACTAGGGTGATCAGATGTCCCGATTTTATAGGGACAGTCCTGATTTTTGGGGCTTTTTCTTATATAGTCACCTATTGCCTCCCACCCCCTGTCCCGATTTTTCACACTTGCCCTCTGGTCTCCCTGTTTTCCACTCCTGCAATACAAACATTTCCAAACATAAGGAGAGCAAAAATTGGATATGGGAACATTAATGAATGACAGTAAAGGCAATCAAGCTGAAAAATCATTACTGGGTGTGTTACTTTGGTTGGAAAGCAGTGACATGCCAGTCCTATTTCATGACTAGACAAAAGGGTATCCTGGCCTTGACACAGGGAGGAACCAAACAAAGTCCAACCTGACAAGAGAACATTAGCAGCTGCTTCGCAGTCCTATCTGCAGAGAGATAACCTGGGAGCAAAAACAGTCCAGCAACATGGCCCTAGCCAGCAAAACAGTCAAAGCTCCATCTGTTCAAATGCATTTGGTGATTTCCTGTCATGTCAACACAACCTTAATTATTGAATTTATCTGTACCTTTACTCCTGACAGTGGAAAGTGCTCTTTGGAGCTGCTGCAGTTCTCAGCTTCAATATTTTCAGGAATGAAATTTTTCCATACATGTTCAAACACTTTTCCTTTTTCCTCTCATCCTTCAAATAATTTACCTCCAACCTAAACTCCTCCAACCATATAATCACCTCAAACCTCCAATCCTTCCCAGTGGTTTGCCTCTGCAATTAACAATCACCCTCACCCACCCAGGTCAGCCACTGAAATGTATCCACCTCCCACTACCTCAAGTACATGCCCATCCTGATTTCTCTTATTCCCCCCTGGGATCTTTCATCCCAGACCTATACTCCAGGGATGCTTCTAGAATAAGTTATCCCCTGAGATCACTCAAACCCACCCCCACCCCAAACACCATCACTAGAGACTCCCCTTATGATATGCCAGCCATTGCCACTCGGGTAACTCACATATATCTCCCCTTGGAATATATCAGTCCTCCTCCACCACTACCAGGAGCTCCTGTGATCTGCCACTCTAGAGATTCCCCCTGGGATATGCCAATGCCCAGTGCTTAATTTGTGCCAGGGCTTGCCAGGGCTGAGCCCAGCATCTCTAGGCTTGGCGGTTCATAGCCCCGGCACCTCTGGGCTTGCCAGGTCAGTTATGAAAGTAAACCAATTGCTTGAGCCCCAGCAACTCTTTCATTACAAATTAAACACTACCAATGCCACAGTGAGCAGTCACCACCCATATGTACCCATTCCCTTTCAGGAATACCGCCTGGGATATGCCAGCACTCATCTTCCAGGGGCTCCCCTTGGGGTATGCCACTACGCCCAGGATCACTCAACCCCCACTTAGTCACTATGCTACCACAGACTCCTGTGGAATCTGCCCCACCTTTCAGGGACCCGCCCCCCCTCGGGCCAGTCACCTCCCCTCTGCCCAGTATGTCTCCCCCTGGAATTTCTCCTCACTGCTCCTGCTCAAATTGCTCCAGCCCCTGGGTCACGCTCTTGCCTTGCAACAGCCCAACTGGGGCGAAGGGAGTGAAGCGCCAGCCCTGAGAGGCACGAAGTTGACCAGGAGCTGGAAGCTCAGCGAGCCGGGAGGGAGGGAGGCAGCGTGGTACTTACAGGACTGATGTCTGCTGAGGCACCCTGGGGATGTGATCCAGCATCAAGTGCATGCAGCGGATGGTGGTTTTAAAGCAAAGGCATCGACTAGGGCAGGGCAGGGACGCGGCGCACCGCACGGCCAGGAAGAGGACAGCTAAGGAGAGAAGTTTGGGCTCCATCTCCCCTTCGCTCCCCAGCCCCAGCTCGGGAGAGTCTGGCAGGTCCCGCTGCAGCTGCACTCGGGCACCTTTCCAAAGGACATCCCGGGGCCAATCAGCAATGGCTGGGATCACATTACAAGCAGCAGCGCGCTCCGGGTACCACCAGGGGGCGCCGCCCTGCTAAAGCCTATGCAGCCGGGCTTTTAAAACCTGGTGAGAAAGGGGGGAAGTGAGGGCCAGACTTCAGCGCCAGATACTGACTGTGTTAATTAGTTTCAGCTGTGGGAAAAGCGATGCCTCACAGCTCAGCTAGTGGAGAAGCTGTTTTCCACCATGTCAGGTGATCCTTTTAATGAATTAATGCACTTTCCTGGAATTGCTTAATCCAGGCAAGCCCCCTCCCACTGACATGCTAACCAACTGAACTGCTTGGGAATGCAGCGCCCTAGACAGCGCCCTTGCTCTGCACAGGACTTTAGGGACCAGGTAAAAAGGCAGGTCCCCAGGGGGTTGCAGTGTCAATCTCTGTTTTGCAAGAGTAGGTCCAAGTGTCTCTGCACACAGACAGGAACACACGCTCTTAGAGGGGTAGGGGGGAGAGCCACTTCAATGGAGAAAGCTTCTCTAGCCTTAAAAAGTAATGAAAACCAGACTTTTTAGAACAAACAGATGAACAGGCCAGTATACATTTTGGCCATGTCAAGCTGCTTTGCTTAATTCAAAGGGAGTCTTGGTAAATGCATTCCACTTTCTAATCCCATTGAGATAACACTGATCCCATAAACTGAGAGAAAAGAAAGCAGTCGTCCCTTTGCAGAGGAAGCTGGAGAAGACAGACCATGCTTTCCAACAGATTTGTTGCCCCCATCAGCCTCCCAAGAAGTCACAGCTCTACTTACCTTTGTAGTGTGGGGAGAAGGAATGACCACTCAGCAAGATTTCCCTCCCTCTCTGGATGGATAGTTCATTCCTCTTGTCTTTGGGAGAAAGTGGCTGCGCACTTTCCTTGCCCCTCCTTGGGGAAGGGAACAAGATGTGACTGGTAGCTTCACACCTAGGCCCTGTCAGCTTCAGTGGATCCCTTGCACCTGTACAGAGCTCCATAATAATACTTAGCCCTTATACAGTGCTTTCATCAGCAGAGCTCAAAATAACTACAGCCATTTTACAGATGGGGAAATTGAGTCACACAAAGGTGAAGTGTCTGGCCCAAAATCACCCAGCAGGCAAGTGGAAGAGCCATAAAACAGAACCCAGATTTTTTGACTCCTAGACCAGTGCCACTGGGCCATGTTGGGGCTCTCTACAGGCACAGGGAGCCACCTACTTGGATGCAGTTGCAGGAACAGGGACTTGGGCCCAGATCCTCAAAGGTGCCTAACTCCTATTGAAGCCAATGGAAGGTAGGCACCTAAATAACTTTCAGGATCTGGGCTTAAGTTCACAAGATGGATAGCTGTATCCACCACTGTGATGCATGTATGCAAACTGCCATAAGGTTCCATATGAGGGCAGCAGTCCACCCACACGGATTCTAATGCAGGCTTGGGGCCAATGACATCTATCCCTATGTTCCCACTCCTCCAATGCCCTTTGTAGACTGTGCAAGTGAAACTCCATAGGCCTCCATTATGCAATCAGACCCTTAGACCTTTGTCCAAATGCAGGACTAAAACTACAGACTCCTTTAAGGGCCTTTACATCCTCTTGGTTCTGTGCAGTCCTATTGCACAGTCAGTACTAAACCCATCAGAAGATAAAATGGTAAATTAATAATAACTCTGCCCATCTGCTCAGCCCTGTTGGTGTGGTTCCCATAACACAGAGGAAACTTGTTCCGTATCCAACCTCTCTCTTCTAAAAAAACAAACTGAGAAGCTAGCAAAAAGCTGTTCCTAACACATCTCAGCCAGGGTTCACACCAAGTTGCGGTACAGAGGCAGGGCCGCCCAGAGGATTCAGGGGGCCTGGGGTAGAGCAATTTTGGGGGCCCCTTTCATAAAAAAAGTTGCAATACTATAGAATACTATATTCTCGTGGGGGCCCCTCTGGGGCCCGGGGCCTGGGGCAAATTGCCCCACTTACCCCTCCCCACCCCTGGGCGGCCCTGTACAGAGGCATCACTTGTTGCTCTGATGGATGACCTTCTTCTGTCCATAATCAAGGGTGTACATCCATGCTCATCCAGCTGGAAGTATGAATCATTTAAAATAGTTAATCACCAAATGCTTCAACCCTGCCTCCAAAGGGCTTCAGATGTGAATTGAAATGACTGGAAATGGCTCATGTTCTTCCTTTCAGTGGGTCATTTTAGATCATTCTACCTCCATCCACAGAGCCCTTGTGTAAAAGGACGGGTGGCCCAGCAGTTGGGGCCCTGGACTACAAGGAATATTCCAGCTTCTGTCATTGACTTGCTGTGCCACCCTAGGAAAGACACTTAACATCTCTGAGTCTCAGCTTCATCATCCGTAAATTGGGGGTACTGATAATTACCCAGCTTTGTAAAGTGTTTTGAGATCAATGGATGAAACAGGCTATAGATTGTATTAATTATTTATTATTTATTATCATTATTTATTTATTCCCTGTGGTGCCCCATCAGACTCAAACCTCTCCCCATCTGACTCTAAAAGGCCCCTCCAAGTACTTCATTGGGGTGGATTCACTGAAGTGTGATAAGGCAGAGCCAAGCTCATAAACAATACTTGAAAATACTAAAGGGCTCCTTACTAGTGAAGAAAAGGCATAACAAGAACCGAAGTCTGGAAGTCAAAGCTGGACAGTTTCAAATTAGAAATAAGGCATCACTTTTTTAACAGTGGGTGTGCTTAACCATTGGAACAAACTACCAAGGAAAGTGGTGGTTCTCCATCTCTTGGTGTCTTCAGATCAAGGCTGGATGCCCTTCTGGAGATATGATTTAGCCAAACACATGTTACTGGGCTCAGTCCAGAGGTAACTGGATGAAATTTGATGGCATTTGATACAAAGGGGGTCAGAATAGATTATTATCTAAGGGTCCCTTCTGACCTTTAAATCATTGAAATGGCTGCGCTACCACAGTTTTGTGTAGCAATGTTGACATGGCCCGTGGGGTTTTTTAACTACAAAAGGGTGCACTCAAGAGCTAACAGTGCTTCTGTTACATACACAGTTCTTGTTTTGGCTTTCCAAAAAAGACACCTCCCCTTAAGCTTTATCATATGTTTTCTCTTTCTCTAAGAATTATTGTTGCTGGCACAGTGACACACTTCATGTTTTCAAAATAAACTGTTGTTGATTCTCCAACTGCCTTATGCCATTATTTCAACATATTGTAAAAGCAACAAGTCTCATTAGGGCATCCATTCCTTGGTGATTGGCACACTGCTCAAATTACTGGAAGCATGCAGCCAAATACAATGCAACGGAGGCATATCCCAATGAAATAGCAATACCCTGACCTATTGTGCCTTGTTCATGCTCATTTAGAACATATGCATCAACCTTCATCTTGGCTTTATTAATGTGACTGCTATCATCACTACATGCACTAATGTAACAGGAGCTAGTTACATGCAGCTAAAGAATGAACATCACTGAACTGTAAATGAGAAATTACAGCATTTCTACCATGGCGTCCCTTCTCCCTCGGAATTCTCTTACATTTTTTTAATTATTTTTATGGATAGTGTCACGGAAATCTATTGCTATGGGCCTATTAGCAGAGGGAAGGACAGGACAGCATTAGGGATAGTATTGTTTTCCTTATCCTAATAACACTCCTTGTTCAGCTTTTGAAGAAAATGACTGTTTTTGAGACACTTCACCATAATCACGATAGTCTCAATACCTTTGTGATGCTTCACCATAATCACGATAGTCTCAATACCTTGGATTCCTAAACAGAAGTCACAGAATTACAAACAATTCATACATATTCATTCACTTAGATTGCAAGCTCTTTGTGACAGATACTGTCATATTGTTCTGTATTTGTACAGCACCTAGCACAATGGGGTTCAGGATAATGGCTCAGGGTTCCTAGGCACTACCACAGTAGAGATAAATAAATAATAATAATACAGTCGACCCTCAAAGTTACGAATACCAAAGTTAGGAACTGAGCAGTCAACCACACACCGGAAGTACACAATCAGGCAGCAGCAGAGACAAAAAAAAAAGCAAATACAGTACAGTACTGTGTTAAACATAAACTACTAAAATAAAGGGAAAGCAGAATTTTTCTTCTGCATAGTAAAGTTTCAAAGCTGTATTAAGTCAATGTTCAGTTATAAACTTTTGAAAGACCAACCATAACGTTTTGTCTGGAGTTATGAACATTTCAGTTACGAGCAACCTCCATTCCCAAGAAGTTCGTAACTCTGAGGTTCTACTGTACTGACCAAATAATCCATTAAGAATGTGCATATATTAAACTTACCCAACTCTGCGAACTTCTCCTTGGCTCAATCAAGGCAGAGCACTTCTGGAGGCAATGGGAGGAGATAATGGAGGGGAAATAATGTTGCTTTGCAAAGAAATATTATTCGCCAGGGATCGCTGTCCAAACTTATTTGTGTCCATTTGGGGAAGAAAGACCAGGCCAAAAAACCCCAACCCTCTATGAAGGGTGCCAGGTCAGTGTGGAAATTACAGAGGTGGGGGGAGAGCGCACTTTGCTCTGTTGCTGCCAAAGTGATGGTGTGAATGCTTCGCAGTCAGAGCCTGGCCATGTGTCAGTTGTTTTTCTGCCTGAAAATTCATGTGGTATTACAACATGATAGGGTATCACAGCCAATGTCAGGAAAAAGCATGTGAAAAAGATCATCCACTAAACATGGCTTTTATTTATTTAACAAGGGCCTTTGATAGTGTTAACAGAGGGGAGTTCTGGGAACATCAGGAAATATATAGATTGGGATGGACCACATCAGGGAATAGAAATTGTATGGCAGGCTATGAATGCTCACAAAATTGTGAATGGTGTGTGTGTGGGGGTGAGGGCTCTGGCTGGGGGTGCGGACTCTGGGGTA